TCTCCCAAGTAGTTAGTGATAGGAGAAGAGGAAATGGGCTCGAGTTGCATCAGGGGAAGTTTAGGTTGGATACTAGGAGAAATTTCTTCACGGAAAGAGTAGTCAAGCATTGGAAGAGGCTGCCCAGAGAGGTGGTGGAGTCACCATCCCTGGAGGCATTCAAAAAAACCGTGTAGAGGTGGCACTCTGGGACATGTTTTAGTGGGCATCGTGGTGTTGGGTTGACGGTTGGACTGATGATCTTAGAGGTCCTTTCCAACCTGAATGGTTCCTAATTTTACTTTCATTAAAAAGTAATCCATCTACCAAGCCAGGAAACATGAAATTAATTATTACTCTACCCTTGATTGTTTTAGTGGTGAGCTTGGTAGTGTTAGGTTAATGGTTGGACTTGATGACCTTAAAGGTCTTTTCCAATCTAAACGATTCCATGATTCTCTAAATCACAGTTCTTTTGGGAACTCTTAAAAGAATTGGTAACACCTTCCTTTTAGACACTGAACACCTTTATTCAAGTCAATACAGCATGCTAACGCTGTTATTCCTTGCTTTGAAGAGAGGAGAAAAGAAATATTTGTGATCATTTCTCAATTAATTTTCAATTAGGTAATGAATCAAAAGGGTCTTAAAAAGAAGTGAATGACCAGTTCCAGTGTGGTTTTTTTCTGGTTGCTTTATGTGTTTGTGTTGACTTTTTTGCAGTTTTCCAACTTCCTAAAGTCCAGTGTGGTGTAGAATTTAATGAACTCAGGCCATAAGGAAAAAATGGGGACTGTGGAGAAACATAAAAGATACCATGTTTTGTTTACTTTGCAGAGTTAAAAATTCTCCTCTCAAGCAGTCTCCAGGCTACCAAATTGAGCTAGTTATCCAGCTAGTGTGGGTGAGTGGAGAACCTCCTCAACAGATAACCAGCTTAGCAGTCAACTCAGCGTATGGCCTGTAAGTATATTCTACACAGTGTTTTCATTATTCTGGTAAGGTGGTTTAAAATTAGCTATTAAAAATTAAGTCTCCATGTGTGTTCACAAGAGCTGCACAACATCACCAGAGAGGCAGTCTCCTGTGCTTTAAACATAATTCCTTTTGGGTCATGGCAGATCCTGATGATGCTAACATCAGAAACAAATCAGCATCACACTTCCTCACCTGCCACTGTACAGCCAGGAGTAAATGGCATTTAAGGCTCTGTCAGATAGGTTGGAAAGTACAATAATGGTGATCTGTTCTACTCAGTGTCACATGTTTTTACAAGAGAACAATTAAACAATACTGCATTCTAAAATAGTAATTTATAAATATACGTAATTTAGGGTAATTCATAAAAATTAGGAATTCTTGAAATTCTGAACAGCAATAAATACTTGTGTAAAACTTACCAACATTTGATTAGCACTATCTGTCCTTCCACTTCTCTTTTTCCAGAGTAGTTTTTGGAAACTGTAATGGTATTGCCATGGTTGATTACCTCCAGAAGACAGTGCTCTTGAATCTAGGCACTATTGAACTGTATGGCTCCAATGATCCTTATCGCAGGGAGCCACGATCTCCCCGAAAAACTCGGCAACCATCTGGAGGTGAGTAACTCAAAACTTGTTAAAACAAACTGTGCCTTTCTTCTGAGCTTATCTGGGCTATTAATGTATATTCTTTGAATACAAGCATACTTTTTCTCCATTGTGGTTTCATCCTTTCTTCTTCATCTGTCCCTAACGTCACTATTGCAGGTTTGTTACTCAATATTTCCTTCAAAACTGTTTAGTGGATTCTACTGATGGCTTGATATCGCTACTTACTTTTCAGTGTAATGTATGTTTTAAGAAAAAGCAGGTGGGAAAACATTATCTGTGTGAATAGATATAAGTATGAATGTACAATGGATTTATGTAGTTTACAAGATTTTAACTCAATAACACAGGATGAAGAAGTGGAAGTATCCTGGTATTTCTGATAACCCTAGTACCCGTATCACATGCTTATATAAAACCATTAGTGTCTGCAGATAGCCAATGTATCTGCTGGGATCTTTTGGCTTCCTATTTTAAACTTTGACTAGAAATGTCCCTGACAAGCTAAAGCATGTTACATTGTGTATGCTGTTATGTTATGCTTGCAAGGAAGCCTTTGATTTAAATGAACCAAATAAACTTCCAAATACAAACTGGTAAAATAAATCTTTTTTGAAAAAAGGACTTCGATATAAAGATACAGTGAAGAAGGGTGTTTCTTTGCAGCTGAGGAGGAAAGTGACTTTTCAGTCAAAATTCCAAGCTTTTTATTGTCAAAAGGAAAATTCAGTATTTTTAAATTATTTTCTCCTCCTTGTTATGTAGTGGATATTTTTAAGTTAATTTAGATAACAGCTAAAGACAGAATGATAAACAATGTCACTGCTGCCCCAAATGATAATTTTTCAATAGGAAATAAACTGTTCAAAAAACTTCATGCTCTAGTGGTGGTTGCTTTATTTTGAGACCCGGAATAAAGTCCAGGTAAGTTCTTTAGGTAATATTTTACTCAAATTGAAATGGATGCTCCAAGATATATTTTAGTAAATCATTGGTTTGAGCAAGTTCCAGCTAGCACCAGTCAGCTTATTTCAACTGAGGAAACTGGTCCAAAAAACATTGATGTAGAGCAGAACATACACAGTTGGCATCCTGTTAGATAAAATACATTCTTCTAATAAATAAGAACTGTATTTAAAAAAATAACTTTACTGGTTGACTTTGTTAATTCCTCTTGGGATTAAAGGGCTTAAATTCTGCTTCATGCATTTAGATTATAAACTGCCTTTTGGAGTCTTAAACATTACTTGCTTTGTTTTTCTTGCCTTTTGTTATTTTAATGTATTGGATCCGCATAACTGAGTTACAACTGTGTCTCTAAGATGTTCATGAATAAAGTCCTTTTTGCTCATGAATATAAGTGTTACTTGAAATCATGTATTTTTTCATCTTGCATCGTAATACTAATGATCTGCATGGCAAGAGCATTTTATAAGCCTGGTTATACAAGTTATTCTGTTGGCTTTTCTGTCTCAAATGTACTGTTAGTGTCTCCGTCTTTCCTTTTCTCATTGCTTCATAAAGGTATGCTGACTGTGGCTTCTTGCATGTGCGGCCTTTCTAACTTATATTCAGAGTCTGTGAAAAAGCTTCGCACCTCTTATATAAGTAAGTCATCTCATGGCAATAAAATGTTTTCGAACATCTGAATTTGGGTTTTTTTTGACTTGTTCACTAACTGTAAATATTTTTGTTAGTCCACTTTAACAGCTTTACTTTTAGAAATTGATTTTTAATCCATGACGCACCTATCATGTTTCTTGTTCATGGCATCTTTAAAAGAAACTTGAAAGAAAAAAGCAATCGTAATGGTCTCTGTATTTTGTGTTTTAAATAAATAAATATCAAAATCAAAAGGAGATCCTGTCTTCAGAAGTTACTAATGTCTACAGACCCAAGATCTTACTCGCCAAATTTAGTGTTTTGAGATCTGAGGCTAGAAGCTTCCCTTGCTTGGTCCCCTTTCTGGCAGAAAAAGCTTCAGAACTCCAGTGTTGGTTTATTGTTATTAATAATAATAATATTTAACATTATAAAAGACAGTGATTTGTCTATTGCAAATGAAAATTGACTTCTACAAAGATGATGTTCGTAGGGATTAAGAGTGGAGGTGGCTGTGTATTGCACAGCCCTGTGGGGCTTCCAGGTAGTTTGGAAATTCAGGCACCTATGTGAGGGAGGTAGCCTATCAGAACCATGATTTACCTGAGGGCTTCTCTGACTTACTCCATCACTCACAGCATCCAAGAATTTGGAGAACATAAAGCTGATTTTTAAAAGTATAACATTGTTCCTTTCCCTAGGATGCCAGTTTGTTCCATCCCTTGGGCAGAGGAAGGTAATCTGACCCCATTTTTTAATGAAGCAGAGTAGAATAAAACTAAGCTAAAGGAAGAATGACCTGGACTTAAAAAAACAGACTTGAGATTGTGGTCCGATTCTGTTAGTTCTGCTAGGTTTTTTTTCCCCCCACAAGAAAAAAGAAACACATTTCAGAGAGGGTAGGCTCAATAGCCAAGTACTGCTTTCTGTATAGTCTTCCATCCTCTGCTGCCAAGGGAGAAAAGTAGCTAGGCATAAAAGAAATGCCTCCACCTTAAGATGATACAGAACTGAAAACCAGGGTCTGCCACTGATTATTATTGTGAAGGGAAGTAAAAGATGGGTAGAAGTCCCAAAACTGGTTTCTGAAGCCAACGATTGTAAAGCTGAATTTACCTGGACTATTTAATTTAGGCATAAGTTAAAACAGGTTTTGTACAAAAGAGTTAATTTCTTAACCATGTAGTTAATTCTTTTTCCCTCTACCATGCTCCTAATGTCTTGATTAGCTGGAGCTACAGTCTTTTTAAAAACTGAAAATAATTTCTCTAGAGTTATCATTTAATATTTCCAATTATTTGTAGTTCTTTCAATGTATGTGTTGTCCAGACTTCAATAGCTTAAATAATAGAGCGTTATTGCTATGTAATTTTCCACAAATAAGTCTGTTACATTAAAGAACTATCCTTTGCTATATTTATAGGATTGGAACCGTAAGAGTCAGTCAGAACACTTGGATTTTGCATTCTCCCTTTCTTAAACATTAATGTCTGTGTTTGGGTCTTCAAAGATACAAAGAACTTATGCTTCCTTGGTTTTGTTTTGAAAGATGTGCCTTCATTGAATTCTTTATCTTTAAAACATTCGTATTTTAATACTTCTAAATTTATTTTTCTACAAATAAGAAATTTTCAACTACTGTACAGGTCTAATAACCTTCAGGGAGTATTAGTACTTAATTTCTAGATCTTCCTAGGGAAAGTGCTTATGTATTTAATGTGGTGGTTTTAGAGAAACTGAGGGTATTTTCCATTATCTGAGACAACCACAAGGTATATAAAAAAAAAAAACAAACCACAAAACATACTAGCCAATGCATGCATTTAGACAAGTTCTTAATTATATTAAGTTCAGGTTCAGACAGCATGCAACAGAGCAGCATATTGTTATTGTACATTGTATCCCAAGATTGGCAGAACCAAAAATTAAATTATTTCAATATAGAGGGGAGTGGGAAAACATCATTCACTGTTACTCAACCACTTCCATTTTGCCCCAAAAACACAGCAAGAATTGGTCCTTCCTCTTTAAGAACCCTGGTATTCTGCATGTTCCAGCGTAAAATGTCTGTTTAATAGATCATCAGTATCTGCTTACATATTTATAGTTTAGTAAATGGCATGTCCCGAGTCAACCAATTGAAAACTTAAAAAGACTTTTTAAAAAATGCAAGATTTTCCCTTCACTTGTGTTGCAAGAATATGATGTATGTTTCTGTCATCTTATTTTTTTCTACTCAGAAAAGAAATTCAGATTCCCGTCTTAAAGCAGCATCTATTTAGAGAAAAGGCCCTCTACACTAGCTAGACTGTAAACTGTCATTTCAGGCTAGCTCAACAGATACAAGCTCCCTGTTGGGATCGTGTTTTGGAATTTATCAGTGATTCATACCAGGTATATTACTCACATGTTTCGGGTAGCAATTCATGAAGCATGCAGTATATGTGTTTTTGTGAAGGCCTGCTAGACAGTGTCATCAGGTGCTTGTCAAGGGTGAAAATGGTGCTTGTCAAGGGCAAAAACAAAGTCTGCCTTTGCCTTCAGGTCACAATAGTGGTGGGGAAAACAACAACTTTGGCCACATGCCAAAAGACACAATGTGTAAGTAAAAGCTTTATAGTGCGATGAAAACTCTATACACAGTGGAGGCTTACACTGTTTAGAGACCTTTGCTTGATAGTTTGCTAAATATGACAGGAGCCATTAAGAAGAAAGCCAATATTAGTATCAAAATATCAAATATCAAATAATTCATAGTGTTATAACTAAACACCAAAATTTACAGACAGCTGTTGTTTTTTCCTTGCTTAGTTACATAATTAAGTTCACATAAGACACCAATCTTAACTCTTTTGCAGCTTACTATTAGTGGGAGTTACAAGGTTTTATGTGACTTCTCAACTAGTACAATATAATACAACTTTTTATAAGTTAGTATTTCTTAGTTCTACCAGAGCCAGTTTAGGATTCAGACAAAATAGAAGCAGTTCTTGCATGCATGTGACTTTTTTTTTTTAATTATTATATATCAAAAAGCCTTTTTTGAATGTAATCTACAAGGGTTTCAGAACAGGGGTTGAGTCAAACTTGAAGAAAGTGTGTGCCTAGAACTCTTGTGGGGTTGCTTGTTCTAGTTGTTTTCCCTATCCCCTTTCTCCTTGAATTGGCTCTGGACATGAACTCTATTTGAATTTTTGGCTTAAACGTCAACTAAACAAGACCAACATCAGCTGTGGCTAAGCCAAGTCCAGAATGGAATCGAGAGTTTGATTGTTGGGTTTGGGGATTTTTTTCTACTCCATTTTTCAGGTTCTTAATTCTAAATTTTATATCTTCATATCATAGAATGCTTTGGGTTGGAAGGGACCTTTAGAGGTCATCTAGCCCAACCCCCCTGCAGTGAGCAGGGACAGCTTTAACTAGATCAGGTTGCTAGTTATATCAAGCTGGTTCTAGTTGTAATTTTTAATTAGGCTAGTTTCCAGTCAAGTTGTAGTTTCTTGGGAGATACATCTGCCTAAAGCTTATGTGAAAAACTGACAAATGTCTCATGAAACTTTATACATAAGTTAATTTCAGCTGTAATTCTAGGGAGTTTTTAATGCAACATTTTTATATCTTTAATGACATTATTTGATATTTTTTTAATTAATTTTGGGGTTTTTCAAACTTCTTGCTACTAGAGTTCAGACAGATCAGCTAAAAGCTTATTAGAAGGTCACTTTTCCATATATTTGTGTTCTAGTCAGGTTGTAGTCTTTGCAGTTCTGAAATGGAAAATCTTGAATCAGTTGCTTTTGTAATCCACAGCAATTAGCACATATGCTGTAAGACTGAAACCAGAGAACTTTTCCAGGAGAGCTGTCTTACTGCCAGTGCACACACTGCTTCTATCAGGGTACCTGGGGTTTTAAGATGAACAGCAGTAATGATTGTTACACCAGTTTCTTTCTTCTTGGTCATGGACAGACCCTCATAGTTCACAGACTTAACTCGGATCATTCTTGTTATTCTCTGCTTACTTTAATTACTAATGCAGTCATAGATAAAATTACTTTTTACCTGTTCCTGTCCATTCTTCTCTTTCTTAAATAATAGCAGTAATGGCTATGCTTAGATTTCCAAGGTGTATGTGCCGTAATGATTGTCATAATGCACACTTACTCTTCAGTGGGATAAATCTTACCTAATGCATAAAATTAGTGCATAGGTTTATGATGAAAGAATGTTTTGGGGGTTTTCTGTTGGATCAATTGATACAAGTTATTCATTAAGATGTATATTAATCAAATCATAGCCTCAAGACTTCTTACAAAGAAATCAAGCATGCAGTTATGTGACTTCATTCTTGGCTAAAGACTATTCCTGTCAATGCAGGATTTCACTTTTCATAGGAAAGCTAGTGTGAGAAGTTAAACTCTTCCTATGAAGGTAAAGAATTAAAATATTTGCAGGAAAGAGGAAATTAAGTTCTTGAACTGCATGTTTGGATTTGTACAGTTTGGCTCCCAAAGGAGTGTGTGTGATCTAGAAACACAACTGTTTCTAAAAGCACAGTACAGGCTTGTCCTCCCAGTATTGCTACTATCTAAAACTTGTATTGCTTGTTCGGAGAGTAGCACTTACCTTTTGAAAAATCTTTTTACACAACCCTGTCTAGTACAAAACATTTAGACTCCCATGCATGTTTAAAACTCTGGTGCTTTCAGAGGTCAAATCACACTTTGTTAGAGAATATGTACCACGATTATCCCATAGTGCTCATTGATTTACTGATAAATAAGTTTATTTTCTCTTTCTCCTGTGTAGTGGAAAGGTAGAGCTTCCACCTGGGATTTCACCATACATTTTAGAATTTAAATCAGTTCCTGGACTGTTGTTAGTTGTAGGCTTAATCAAGCCTTATGGTCATTTGACAATTTCACATCAATCCTAGTCATTGAGTTTTGAGGTTCAAGCCATACATGCTCTTAGTAATCTAAGTAAAAAAGTAAAAAGACTACTTTGCATAAATGAAATTGTGTGTGAATGCTACATACTTTTAACATGTTCCACATTCATACGATATTTCAGGAGAACCTTTTTTCCTTTAAATAATTAACTTCTAGTTTAGTATTTGGAAATTCTAAAGCTTTGATAGAAGAGTAGTGCTGTTCCCATATTTTTTTGTCATCTGTTAAGATATGTACAGATGTACAAGTGAATGTGTAGAATACAGCTGTATAGACAGGCTTTGCATGTGCAAGCCTTTGTTGCCTTAGCCATTACCATTACACCTCTCAAGCTTTTTGACTATTTGAAATATTTGTGTGCATGTAAAAACCTTTCATTTTAACAAATATTTCTTAACTATTACTGTTAAGTATTACATGCTTGTTTGCATTAGTATCACATCATGAAATTTCTGAAGGAAAATTTTATTATATAAACCTAAAGATGCATTACTAACCTTAAAATATCAATAAAATTCACTTTTCTTAATCATGGGTAGTCTTGACAGCAGTTTCTTGTCAAAAAGGAATATACTTCCAGTATACTTCTAGTTATATACAGGAATATACTTCTAGTATACTTCTGTATACTTCTAGTTAGTGCTATGGAATAATATTTAGGACCCTTATGAGGCAATTTCCATCTTTAGCATCTGATTGTGGACTCCTATGCTTTAGTTCCTTCACTGAAATGGAAGGAATGAGCTTCTAGATATTAACATATTGTAGTTATTCAATGATCAGATTTGATGATGTAAGAATTTAGTGAAATTCCTCCATACAAGGAAGAACACTTTTGTAAGCACCCTAGAACCTAAATTCTGTTATTGCCATAAATAAGGAGTTTTGCTGGAAAATGAACTTGGCAATGCAACAGAAAATACAAAGCATATCACTGTAACAGTGGGAAAATAATTTGGAAAAAGGCACTGAAGTTTCACATGTCATACTGCATACATGGTTGTAATCTTCAAGATCCTCTTTCATCTGACTTTCTTTTGCAACTGTATTTTTAATGTAACTCTAGGATTTTTTCAAAACAAATTATATTTGTACTTAATATGTGTCTATAGCATGTAAATAATTAACTGTTCTGATAAGTCTGTCTTGCTGAAAATATGGTGCTTTTTGCTGAAATATAATGAAGTGTGTTTTGTAAAGAAAACTAGAAGGAAGAAGTGACTCTACAGTCACTGTGGGTAATGTCCAAATTAAAAAAAAAAAGTAACAGGTAAGAGAAATTCTATCACAACTGTTTGGTTCGTAGCTAATAAGAAATGAAGTCCTAACTGCAGTGGAAGAAAAGATAAAATATCAGCAGTATTTATTTTACACTGGTTTTCTGTTCCAGCAGGTCTTTGTGATATTAATGAAGGTACAACGGTGCCAGAAGATCGCTGCAAATCACCCACTTCAGGTAAGCATAACTTCCTCTGATCTTCAGCTTGTTATTTGCCCAGAAGATGGCATGCTTTAAGTCAACATTTACTAGTTCACTAATTATATAAAACTTCTTGTTTTCTCACAAACTGTTTGAGCTGTCAAAAATGTTGCTGCGTTGCACAACTGCATTTTTAAAACAAGGCTGATTTAAGAGATGCAATAAGAATATGTCATAAAGATGAGTGAAGAGAGATATAATCTGAAATATTTATGCTTCAGGGAACATACTGGACAATGGAATTTTGAAACATTGATAAGAGATGTACAAATTCCTGTAATAGTTCATGTGATTGTGTTTCAGAGTCCTCACAAGTGGTAAAGGTTATTTCTGTTAAAACAGCTAGTTATTTCTGGTTCCTCATAAGTAGTAAATTACTATTGTTCTTTGGAATCAGAGGTCTTTAGAAACTGGCATCCTTACAAATTGGGAGTTCCCTACTTAACACCCCCCCCCTCTTTTTTTTTTTTTTTTCACTCTGACACTAATATATGTGAATATTTCCCCCCCCTTTTTTTTTTTTTTTTTCCACCTGCCACTACTATATGTGAATATTTTAAATTAAAGCTTCAGCAATATGTAATACTGTTTAATATTTTGTTTAATACCGGCTAGTTGAGGCTATAGCCATGTAATACTTGGTGTACATCAATATATAGTATTTGAGATTAATATTTCATGTAGTAGCTAAAAACTTGTTGCTTATCTTCACCATTACACTAAGAAAACTTTTAAAGTAGTGTGTCACTTCATCTGTTTCATTCAAAGCTGTACTCAAAGTTGGACTAAAGGACAAAATTGCAGGTTTACTCAGTACCTACAGTAGTATTCTGTGAAAAGAGTATATAATGTCTTAGGTACACACACAATACTAAAGAGAAATAAGTCTAAAGTACCAAAAATAGTGAACGGACAAAAGATGGAGGGGGAAAGCCACTGTTGCAATCCCCTGTAAAACAGAATCTTGAAGTAGTGAGGTTGGACTGTGCCTGGCTTCCCTCAGTTCTGTCCTCTCCTCCCAGCTCTTGGTAAATGAGATAAGGTTTGTGGCAGGCTTCTCCATTTTTCCTTTGAGAAAGGTACTCAGAGGGAGGCACCTCCCTGATATGGAAATCATTTGGTGATGTTTGTGAAGAGAGAAGAGCTGCAGTTCCCTAGGTTTGGTTTAAGTATGATATTTTTTCTGAGCAAGAGCACAAGACTGGAAAGAAGCTTGAAAATGTCATTCAGTTTTCAGAGAGGTAAGAGGACCTTTTGGAGGAATCAGCTGCACAGTATTGGTGAGCTTGAGATGCAGGACAGAGGCCAGATTTAAATGAACTTTTTCCAGTCTAGAGGCTCTCTAGTTAAGAGGCAAATACACTAGTACAAAAAGTTTGCTTGTTACTAGCTTTAAGATTGGAGGATGGGATTGGCAATTGAGTGCATTATTGGCTTTGACTGTTATGCTATGATCTGTTAAACAGACCAGCCACTATTTGGGCTGAAGTCTGCATTTGTTCAAGTGATCTACATCTTCCACCTTTTCCACCTTTCTATGCCCAGGTGAAGAGAAGTGGAAGCTAACTTCCATTAGGCTTCCTCCAGTGGGTGGCTATACAGTTGAGAGGACTGAAAGGGACTACCTGCCTATGCAAGTTAGGAGAGTATCCTACAGTTTTAATAACACAGAGCTATAGAAATACTGTGAAAATGCAAGAGAAATAATAACTTTATCTCCTACTTTTTCCACAGAAGTTAAACGGTAATAAGCTTAGGCTCTGGGGGCATTTATCTGACCCATAAAACATTGCATTGCATTGTAAACTGTCAAGTTTTTGTGTTCATGAGTGTCAAAATGATTGCATTCTATTCTTCTTTTATACTTCCACGGTATAAAATCCAATGAAATTTGGCATTTTTTAGTTGAACTATGTTTTAATTTCATGACAGTCATAAGCCTCAAGTTGTGGCCTATAGCCACCCCTGGTTTTTCAGTATTAAGGATTCAGAAAAATCCCAGGTGGCAGCATTGGCTCCAAGTTGTCTGCAGAGTAGTTGAAGAACTGTGGCCCAGTGGTGACTTACTGCATTGGAAAAAAACCAAATATTCAAAACTTGAGTTTATTTTTAGGCATTGTTCTGTGAATCATAATTTAGGTTAATCTTTGTGTCTGGAACCATGATTAGGACAGCAATCTAGTTATTCAAGGTAAACATTTTATTTGATGAGAGAAATATTTCTAGCAATAAACTTGCTGCACTGTGCAACATTGTACCTTGCATTATAATTTTTGTGGTTTATCTCAATATGGCAGAATTCCTGTCATAAGAAAATAATTTGGACTTTATAGTATCTAGTTACAGCTACAGAGAATACCAGTATCAGTATTTGATATTTTAATACATCTTTGTATCTTCCTTAAACTCAAAGCTTTTATTAATACATTGGTTTTGTGTCAAAGATATATGTTTGTATATCCATTTCATTCTGTCTTCACTCATAGGTTCTGGTTCACCAAACAATTCTGATGATGATCAAAAAATGAATAATTTTATAGAAAAGGGTACAGTATTTTTCTTTTCTATGGTCTTATTTTTTCTTCAGTTCATCCTTTGGTACACTTAGATTGATCTTTTTATTAAAATATTATTTACAGTGAAGACCAAAAGCAGAAAGTTTTCCAAGATGGTAGCCAATGACATAGGTAGGAACTAGAAAAATTCTGCTCTGTTCCTAATCCAGTGCCTTACTCCATGCAACACTAACCCAGCAGCAAAAAAATCCAAAATAAAATTCAAATTTCAATGCATTAAGGTATTAATTTTTCATTCTTTATGCTAATTGGTAATTCTATGGGCTGCTTCTGTACTAAATACACTGGGCACAATAATTTTTTTTAAAAAATCAAGGATATTGGTGTTTTAAATTCTCTGATTTTACAATTGCTCTTCTCTATTTTCTGGATGGGTGAAATTCTGATCTGTACTAAGAGTTCAGTCTATGCAAATCACAACATTATTCCACTACTTTTGCAAAGGTACACCCTCTTTGAGAACATGTGACTGATTTAGTTTCTTATGTGTTGCATTCATAGCCATATGGTCAGATTTCCATATGACTGTGGTCAAGATAGAGGTAGTATCATGTTTTCATCTAATCGTCTGGAAGAGGACTTGGTCATATATATATATATATGTATGTATGTATACCCCATTACTGCATCCAACAGTGACACAATACCCTACCAGCTCCAGACATGTGTCTTAATAATTTGGTGACAAACTTGCCTTGGAATATGTTGTATGCAGGTAGATTGAACCCTTTTATGATTGGAATCGAAATTAACTCTACTTCTGACAACTGCGTAATTAAATAAATGAAGGCAAGAGGCTGTATGATTTAATTTGGGGAAAGGGACTCTTCTTCCTTAACTGGGATATGGTTATTTTCATTTCAGAATCACTGTGTTAATGGTTCATTTTGGTTTTGTTTAGTACATTAGTATATCATTGTAGGAGGATTTCATTTTATCTCTTTAGTCAGATCAAAAGGTTGAAACTACTTTATATAGTAAAACTGCTAAACTACTGTTTCATAGGTTGTGTTGAACCATAGGTTAAAACTAGGGAGGAAGAGATTTCTTTTCCTGTAGTCTCCCTTTGATTTGCTGTTTGGCAATTTAACTTTTATCCTAAGCCCTTTCATTGCAATTCAGTAATTGAGAAGAAGAATCATTCAAAAATCAGTGAGATAAATACGACTATGATGAATCTGAGGTACAGAATGAGGAAGAGCAAAAATATGTCCTGTGTTCAGTACTATGTTGAGCCCTTCTTGCAGTGATAACAGAAATGTTAGGGAAGATGAGTTCTGAGACAATGGAAGCCTGAATATAATTCAAGAAAGCAAATGTCTGTCAGTAATATATTATGTCAATTAATCTGTAATTAAAAAAAAAATTTAGTATCATTTACCTGAGTATTGATTAATATGTTCTCCTAAAGGAAATTCGGGCTAACTAGAAACTTCAGTTCTATGGGAAAAACTACACTTAATCTTGTGCATGTTATATCAATGACCCTTGATGAGGTAATGTTTCCCTTTTGTCCCAAAGCAGTCTCTTCTGAACTTAAGACAGCCTATCTTGTACAAAAACATAGTATGTTTGAGTGTGGCTTCATTTTTTTTTTTTTCACTTCTCTCAGAGAGTAATGTTACAATATTAATAAAAAATGCTAATGACAACGCTGTAGAACTGTTGACATCTGTTTCAGCTTGAAGCTTTTCAACTGAAAGTATTGCAGATGTTTTTCACACCCAAAAAGCAAAACATTTATTTGCAAGTAATGCATTCTTCGGGGTGTAAGTTAAATGCAGAGTTAATTGAGACAATAACGCATTTGCCATGTAATTCATAAGTGTCTCCCAGTCAGCCCATACTGTGATTTCTGTTGCACAGTTTATTGGAAGTTTAAAGAAACCTAATTATTTCATCTGCATTCTGTTAGAGGAGTGGTTTGATGCTGTGCACTGAAGGTTTTGGGTTTTTTTTTCACTGCCATGTTTTCTATACCTTACCTGGCATGGTTACTCTGCATGCCTCTTTCTGAACTTACATTCTAAGCTCTTCCACATAAGTAAAACCTCTTTTTTGTTATTAATAGTTGCATGGTTTTGCATTTTACTGTTTTAAACTGAATTGCCAACAAAATGTGAATGGACATTGAGTTTTGTAAAATATGAGTGTCGCTTACTGTCATTAACTTCACCATGTTGTATGAAACAAATTGTTTACCATCAACTGTGTTCACATGGATGAATTTTGATGTATGTGGCATGGTCGTAGCTCTTGGCCCTCGCATATAGTGCAATCAGTTCAGGTTCTTTCCATTCTTTGTCAATGTGTGAAATACAACCTGTCAAATGGATTGCAAAACACAAGAAGAATTATTTATGTTGGTAATTTCATTGCTGTTGATATCAGTCCTGTGTTTTTTGTCACATGGGAGCAGTGAGTAAGGGAATGCTGCTTGCAAAGTGAGAAGTAATTTCATTTCAGTGATAGGGCTGTAAGGTGGTAACATAATACACATGCATCTAGAAATATGAAGCCATTGTCAATCACTTTATTGAAACTTATGTAGACACATCTTCATTTCTACAGGTTTCTATCATTAGTGACAGTATCAGACAAGGATTCTTGCTTTGTTAAAGGATCAAAAACCATCTAAGACTGCAACAATAGCATAAACAAAATGTAAATGCTTCATGTACCAACATTTCAGCTTTGCCATATATACTGTCAAGATAGGTTTTTTTCCTAAATACTCAGTTGTGAAAGTTCTGTGCTAAGGAATGGGTAGTAACTCAAGTTGAAGACCTATTGTAGATATGTTGCTTTTGGGTCACGCTTCCCTTTTATTTGCATCAGAGGTGATCTTCGGAAAAGTTGCAGTTACCTTGGATATGTGGAGATACTTGGTTTAATTAACCATTTCTAGAAATTATAGAAAATACTGTGACTATTATTAAAAGCAACCATTTCTCTTAGGAATGGCAAATATTTGAAAGTATAAATAATATGCAGTGAAGTAGTACAGAGAAGTGTACCAAATGTAGATAAACTTACAGGAAGAAGAATCAGTAGGAAGTATTTACTTTCTAAGGCCATGTCATTTTTACAGAAAGGCGTTGTGATCCAGTTCAGTGGAAGCAAAATCTTAAGCTGTTTTACTCGTGCTTTGGTTAGTTAATTGTTTGGCATGAAGAGATAGATGCAATTAAATATACAGGTACGAATTGGGTGAGAAGTCAAGAGGTATTGTAATGTCCATTTCTGGAAGAAGCTGTAGTAAAGGTGCATGCAAAACATTGTCAACTCCAAGACCTTCATAACTGTTCCAGTAGGCTACATGTCAAATAATCTGGATTTTATTTATTTTCTGCAGTTTATAAGTTTAAAAACAATTGCAAACAATATTAGTGGGCAGATCTAAGCAGAGTAGCTTAATTCCAAACTTCTATAATCCCTGCTGTTACTATTGACTTAAGGTTTCTCACATTTGTTGCATTCTAAGTGTACACCTAAATTTTTCAAACAGTGCTGATATCATTGACTATTAATGCTGATTTAATGGAACCAAATCTTAAGATGCTCATAGTAAGTTCTCATTTGTCCTAATGTCACAGTAAGACTGTTTCTTTCAATGTGTTTGTAATACTTCGATCTAATTTGGGGTATATCGAGTACATCTTTTCTTACATTCTCTTGTAAAATGTTTTTATTGTTCTTATATCAAATTTAGAGATTTCAGCATTGATAATGAATTTCTGTATTGTACTGTCACCAGTACAATATTCAATTCTTTAAGCATCTTGAAAGTGGTAATGTAAATCTTTCTCTTCTATGTAGTTGTCAAATACAGAATAATTTGGGAATTTTGGTATGTATAACAAATTCTAAGTGGCTTACTTATTTCTCATCAAAGGTTAAATGAAATAGGCTTTATGTAAACTATTCTCTTGTCGGTCAAAACACCAAGACACTTGTCGTCTTTATAATCTTTCGAATTTTTTTAAAGGGTTTAGACTGTTTCCTTAAATAAGGAATGGATGAGAAATCACTATAGCTTTCAAACTATGTGCTATACATTGTAAAGTATGAACTCAGGATAATGCAGTGCAAATAAAATGTACTATTACTTTTAAACCACAGCTTTCTATTGGTAGTTCAGTCATGTCTCAGCCTTCAGGTTTTCTTCTTCAAATTGGTTGAACCTGCTATATGCTGAAATATAACATGCTATGCCGAGGTAACCTTTCATATTTCAACACCTGCCCCCTCAAGCCTGACCTATGAGAAATCTCCAAGAACCCTGAACGTTGTTTCTGAACAGTTCTCTGATGTCATACTTTTATATGATGCTTATTTAATTGTATATATTAACAACAGAAAGAATGTGTGTGACCGTGTATGACTCTAGGTTTTCTAATTTAGAGGAGTATTAAGTGTCGGTCTTAAACACAAAGAAAATAGTCATTGTTGCCTTGAGCAGCAGGGTGCTAGGAGGGGCAGAATGACTCCCTGCTCTCTTGTCTCCTTGTCTCACACCAGCTGCAGAAGGGTGGTCTTGGCTGTAAATGCTGCAGCAACCACCACCAACACCGAGCGGTATTAAACTCTGATATGACAGCTAGTACTTGAGGTCAACCACACCCAGCAGGAACAGTCACCATCACCTTTGCCCTGTTGTACAACCAGAGTAAAAAGCCTGACATTGTAGATGTAGATCTCCATCTTATCTTTTCCATTTCTCTGATTTATGTCTTTTGTGTCATACAAGTTGTCTAGCATTTTGTTGGTTTTCATCAGAGGCATAGCAAAACTGAATTTTCAAAAAAATATTGTAAACAATAAGCCAGATATGAATACAAGCAGGGTTTTTTTTATACTAAGTAATGTTAGTTAAAAATGGCTTAGCTGGCAAAATACTCCTATTTTCTTACTGCATCTTTCGGCACTTTTTCCTTTAAACACAAGATGGCAGTATTGCTATTTAAATAGCTTCTTGTTTCCTATTTACATTTGAATTACGGAGTTTTTTGACACATTCATGTATGTTTTAAAAAGTATTTTTTGCATAGCACATGAATTCACAATTTCTAGCAATGACATCCTTTTTAACAATTCATGTATCCTCTTGTCCTGTTAATGAGGCATAGTTCAGTGTTTGTAGAAAATGATGTCTGACAAATTTGTTTTACCTTATCAACCTAGTTCACACAGCTGGCCTTTCACTAAGGACAAAAAGCTAAAACTGTGGATTGAGTCTTGAAATGCAACACACTTGCCTTATACTTGTTATTACCTGCTATACTACCTGTTACCTAGTATCTCTTTTTTTTTTTTTTGTCAGTTTTCTCCAATTTGTTAAAATTGTGTGTTAAACATTTATATTTGAAAAGCCAAAAGTGACCGCTCTGGTCTTCAAAGTGACTAAGTTAGTTAATCATTGCTGGTATTCACACATGGTAAAAGCTGTGAAAAGCCAAAAATATCTCAGATTATTTTCTGTGTGCATGCTTGAGCTTTTGTTCAGTATCTCAGCTTTTATGATTTACATGTCTAATGCAGAAAACAAGTCTTATGACAAGGAATGCCCATCTTGTAATTCGCAATTCCAGATAAGGTTTCATGATCTCTTTTCAAGCTGATGGAAGTTCAAGGTGACAGCACAAATATGGGTTCCTTGTCACTAGTGCTGTTTTGTGCCATGGTTTTCTGTTTGTATAGCTGAGCTCTGATCTGAAACAGGAGTTGATCTTTTTGAAAACAGCCCTCAACAGAAACTTCATTTAGATGAGTTTTGGCCTCGCCATTAGGCTAGGCAGCTGCCAGTGCCAACTCAAGGATGAAAATATGTAGTTGGGCTGCCCTTTGCAGGTTCAGCCTGCACTAAAATAAGTTGGTGACTAGCATTTCAGTCTGAGAGTAATTTCAGCTTAATTTGAATAGGACATACTTTGTAACATTGACACATGAAGGAAATTAGAAGATTATTTCTGGAGTCTTATTCTCAATTTTTTATAATGTATGACAGGAATAAAACTGTTCAGCTATTCAGATAACTAGAATTTGCAATATTGATGAGCATAATTGATGATACAATGAAGTATTTCACTTTTTGAAGGAGTGGAAGTAACTTTAAGTCATATGTCGTTCTTCAGGATATGTAGAAAACTGAATGATTTCTGTTAAAATGATAATTAGAATAAGTTAACTACATTTTTAGCTGAGAGAAGCAGCAAGAGTCAGGCTGCTTTATGACTGGTGTCCATTACAAGGTACTCGTAGAGTTATGAGGCTACTCTCAACATCTGCTTTAGGTAGAGAAGTATTACCCTTACAAGATAGTGAAGAATTAAACAATATATCAAAATTCAAGCATGTGGCTGGGAAATAAATTCAGAGTGTAGCCCTGGTCTAGTAGTTAAGCTACATCAAAACTATTCCTTCTCCAGTAATTGTTGAAAGAAAGATGGAAGAGGGATATACGGCTGCTAGTTTACTAGTGACTTTTATTATAGCAGCATTTGTTAGTATGGTACTGTGTTTTAAACGGACTGCAAGATTTCCATTCCTATAAAGAGAATTTTCCAAGTCAGGGATGAGTTCAAGTGCTATTTTTTACCTCAGCAATATTATCAAAATTGTACTGTCTTGCGTTTGACAGTGTTGCAAGTGTTTTGTATGCTGCTGATTTTATAATTATTCTCTATAACAGCTTCATTCTTCTAAGGTTGCAGGTTGCATCTCAGATTACTAGCTTTTTACACATGTGCATTAATGTTTTAGCATAATTAAAAGTTCATCTTGTCTCTATTTTAAATATCTCTGGTTTAATCAGGAAGTAGGGCAGAAGAGGGGATGGGATGTTAACTTTATGTAAACTTCAGTGCACATTCTTGCAATAGCCAAGAGTCTGTATTCTGTACTCTCACCTGAGGAGATAAAACTTGAGGTTGAGCCAAAGCAAAATTCATCCAATCCATCAAGTTCTGCCTGAAGCCTGAGGAGAAATGGAGCTTGGCAAAAGTGAAAATGCTGTATTTGGGGATTTTTGGTATCTTCCATGTTTTACTTTGCACCCCTCCCTTGTGGAAGTGAGGCTCTGCTTTAGTAGAAATCCTGTTAAGTGCTGCCATTACTGTAATAAACAATGATATATTGGGAAAGAAGCAAATAAAGGCCATCAGAATCATGTTTATTCTTTTTAAAAAAAAGATATACTTCACTTTTCAGCAAAGATGTCCAGGAAGCTAAGTTTGCCAACTGAGTTAAAGCCTGATTTAGGTAAGTTTACATAGTTGATTTCATTTTTGCTAAAACTGTTTTACAGAATGCAAGTATGTTAAAGGAAGAGTCCTAAATTATGTAAACTATCACGATTTTATGTTGCATTTTTCTGAAGTGTAAAACTAAAATTTTAATTTCACACTTTGAGGGGCTCTCAGGCGCAAAACGTCATTGCTGTCATAAGGTAAACCTGCAAATCTTGTACATGGCTTATCGCACTTTCTTCGTAATTTTTAGGCATCTGTCACTCACTTTATCAGTAGTACTGTGATAGCAGAAGTGTGAATAAGCAGGTAATGTAAGGAAAATTGCTGCCTGTTTAGAACCATCTGATACATTTTAAATTGAAAAATGAAATATCTTAAGAGTAACAGGATATGTAGAGCTCCACTCAACAAATAGTTGGACATAATTTTACAAGTGTTAATTGTCTTGTGACCACTCTCTCTAAATGAAAATAATATACAGCTGTTTGGATGGATGACCAGTCTGAGAATTTCATTTTTCTTGAAAAAGCACAGTAACTTTTCATGTAAGAAGCATTCAGTTGTGAAGCCTGTAGTACTAAAGGTCATTCTATTGCATAACTAAAACAGCATACAAATGGGTAGATCTATTGTACTTTTTTTTAGTACTTTGCCAGCTTGTAGATCAGATCACTACCACAACCCCAGCAGAAGACAGGCCAGGATCAGAGTGGCAGCTTGCAGAACTGTGTATTTGACAACTGCTGCTATCAGCAAGGGAAGTCCATGGCACTGGGATATCCTGACACTGAACTGGACCACCCTGATTTACAATTTACAATTACAGCTTGCTCCACTCAGAGAAATGTGAAGTTGGAAGGAACCCTCAGAGATCCATTACTATGGCAAGGATCCAGATGCCTGATAATTTAACCCGTCATCTATTCATGAGGCTCCAGTAAACCAGTTTTTACAAAAATCCCAGACAAAGTTCCAATGTTTTATAGTCAGACAAATTTCCTGTTATTTAATTAATCTTCCTTGCTTCCATATTAACTTTTTCTTGTCCTTTCCACAATGAAAAGGGATAACAAATGCTCCCTATCTTTGTTAGCCATCTTTTATGCAGTTGAAAGCTGTCATCATATCTCTAATCTTCATTTTTGCAGATAAATTTTTCTTTTACAAAGTTCAGTTCCTTCTGCTTTTTTAGGTTATGTTGCCTAAATCTAGGATGGCTTCTGTTAATCTCCTCTGGACTTGGAATTTTTCTTCATCTTTCTAAGACTCTTTTGCCCAGAAATAGAGGGATTTAACTGTGGCCTTATTGACACAAAAGAGCAGAAAAATTTGATTTCTCCTTTCAATCTGTGTCTGTTCTTCCTTACTACATTTACTAATGGTTTAGGGGTAACTTCAGTTTATGGAGAATTTTATCATACTTTACAAACTGGACCATATTTATACTTAAATATTATCCAATTCATTCTAACTCTACTGTTGTTTTACTCCCAGTTCTTTGATAGCAATAAGTACTTAGGAGTTTTATTTTTTATGAAGACTGGAGAAAAGAGAATGCTGAAATTCTTTCGCTATTTTCTGATCCTGAAAGTTTCAGCATTTTCTACATCATTTAATATTTGCTGTTCTTCCTACTGAAATAATGGAATTTTTTTGTCGTCGCACTTGTGGTACACTTGTACTTTGTGAATTGTAATAGCCTTTGGCTGGTTTTGTTTGACTTTGCGCATGTGTGGATATCTGCACTTAGATGCCTCATTTTGTTCTGTGTAAAATTCTTCTAGGTTTTCAGGTCTGTAAATAAGTTCCTTAGGCAATTACAGTCTTTTTATTATTTTGCTTCTGTATTTTCTCCTAGCAGGGTAGCTTTTGCATAGTGTTCTTCAGAGATTGTCAGCTTACTTGTATTTTTTTGTCACTTACTTGGCCATATCTACTGACTCTAGGAGACAGAAATGCCTTTCTCCCACGTTTATTATCCTTATCATTTTCTCCCTGCTCTTCCCATGGCTTCTTGAAACTTACTGTTCCATGACCTTGTTCTTTCAAACTACTTTTCTGTCTTTAGATCTTTAACCTACCCTTTTGCATCCCTAAATAGCCAAAACAAAATCTAAAGTATGTGCTTCTGTATTTTTCCTCCACTTTCTAGAGCAGAAGATACCTTGAACATACTCTAGGCTGCATTATACCATTGCTTTTCAATGTTGTAATCCAGGTGATTAAGGTGCCATTGCCACTAGGTCCTATCCTTTGGTTTAGTGGCTCAAAAGAGCCTCATCTTTCCATCCTTCTGATGAAATGGCGTGTAGTTGGTTATCACTACTGTTGTTCCTTCCTCTTCAGCTGAAACTAATCTGTTAACAAACCACAGATTCTTCCTTGACTTCAGGATAAATAATGTGCACTAATGCAGTTAAAGTCTTTACCCCCAGTTCTCTTTCCTGAATGAATGTCCACCCTCCACAATGCCTGTATTGTCTGGCAAGTTAATTTTTATGGGGTTTTTCCTGTCCGTTCCAATGATTCTGGAATTTGTACAAATGCTCTTCAAATATTCAACCAGATGCAACTCAACAAATGCAGATTTAATTTTATGCCTGTTGCAGTTACTGTATGATTATATTCAGACTGAGTAATCCATGTTAGAATTGAAAAAACATTGTTAGTAAATATTCAAGCCTGAAGAAACAAGCATCTTAAGAGGTTGTGGTCATTAGAAGAATTATAAAAACAAATAATTTATTTTTCATGGTTTTACTCTGGATTTGATTTTTTTTTTTTTTAATGTGAAAACTATGTCAGCATCTGAGTAGTTGACGTAGTTTCTTTTTATAATCCATGTTTTACATTTGACAGCTAAAATTTGGCAGGACAATAATTTTTCTATCCTTGTTGGAATAAGACAAGTACCTCCTGAGTAGATTCACTGTTTGTGTTAAGTAGATGTCTGTATTTAGTCTGTTGAAATGTAGTTTGTATGCTTTTCAAATGCATGTTAGATGTTGTTTGTAGAAAGTTTTGCTATAATTTAATGAAAGTGGCATAGTGATACTTCCAGAAAGTATGTGGTTAAATGTTGCTTTTTAGCTCTCAGTCCTGCTTTAAAGATGCCCGTTGCATCTATACCCTACCCAAAGATCCAAAACAATAACTTAATTTTTAAAAAGTCATTATATAAATTGCATCAAGCTTTTACTAGTAAGGGTTGTCTTGTGCTAAAATTTTGGAATGATGAGTTAAGAAAGTAAAGCATTAATTTGTGAATGCACAGATAAATTCAAACATGCTGATGTGTTAAGCATCACCGCACGTACAGACAGTGCAAAGCTAGAATGGAGCAGCACGTGTACTGGTTTGAGGCTTTTGTTCATACCAGAATTCACTCTGTTACAAGAACCTTATTTGCTAAGCAATGAGCAAGATGTTCTGAAAAATTTATTAGTGCCACTTTATACCGTATTCAAAACAGAAATCTTCAGTTTTGTATACCAATGCCAGGTGGCATTTGGTAGCATTTGATGTTTCTCTTACTAAAAGTTTGGGGGTGTGTAAATAGCCTGTTGGACCTCCTCCATACAGTTTCCTAAAGCAGGACAATATTACTATGAGTCATTACAGGTTACATGTTATCAAGCTGTCTGGATGTCAGTCCAGTTCTTAAACTGAAGTAGTTGCGTCTTCATAAGATTATTAAACCATGTTCCATGGAAGCCAATATTTTTTAATCTAATCAATGAACTGATTGGCAAAGAGGTCTGTAATTCAGTTTTTTAAAGGAGGAGTCCTGTTTGACAACTGTTACGCTCTGTCCCACGAAGACAGAAATAGGCATAACAGTCATTCATGATAACTACCTAATAGCAACCTCTGCAAAAAAAAGATTGGGTGCTTTGTTCAGGATACGGCGTTGAAAACTGGGCCAAAAGGAAATATGACTAAGGAAGAATACAGGAGTAATAATTAATAGAATGGTAGTTAGTATATACCTCATGCTAAAGATCAAAAAAGAAAATCTGAATTCTCTTAATGCCTGCATTTTGCCATTCTTTTTAATTAATACTGATTTACTTTCAGATGTCAAAGACAACTCTTTTAGTCGGTCCCGGAGTTCTAGTGTAACTAGCATTGATAAAGAGTCACGCGAGGCAATTTCAGCTCTTCATTTTTGTGAGACTTTCACAAGAAAGGCCGATACATCACCTTCCCCATGCCTGTGGGTTGGGACCACACTGGGTACAGTGCTTGTCATTGCACTGAACTTACCCCCAGGAGGAGAGCAAAGACTTCTTCAGCCAGTAATTGTTTCTCCTAGTGGTATGTACAAAGCAGATGGGCTAAAGTATACTTCGATAAAGTATTGTTGTCATTCTTCATATTTTTTTTTTAAAGAAAATGTTTTTCTCAATTATGGATTAATTGAAACTTAATATATACTTCATTGATGTAGCTACTAAGCTTAACAATCTAGATTGGTTACTTCATTACCAGAGTTTTAGAGTTGCAAAGTAGAAAATACAATCTCATATAATATAAAAATAGCACTTTAATATATGTTTGCTGAGAAATGCATGTTTTCTAACCTTAATGTAGTACATGGCAATTGTTAAACAGAAATAGCAGGGGAGATGAGTATTTCAAATGCTCAGTTTGGGGTTTGGGTTGGGTTTTTTTTGTTGTTTTTTAGTCATGAGGTAGGAAACTTGCAGTTTTCCTGCATCATGAAAGGGGAATACAAATTAAGGGTTGTATATTGAACGACTAGCTTTAAATGTTAGTGATAATATATTCCTTTGAGGTGCTGTGAGAGGTTTTTCTTGTTTTTCTGATACACAGCAACTGATTTTGCTGTAATTATGTATTAATGGTTTGAATGTGCTGTTAGGCATAGATTTAGGTTTCCTGCTACCACTGTCTCATGCAGAACATGCTGCTCTCCTCCACTTTACACATCATACAGAATGGTATCAGGACATGCAAATTGCAATGCTATTTGATTGAAATAGTGATTAGGAATAGCGTGACCTCTAGACCATATTTGATTTGTGCTTACTGAGTATGGTATTGGCAGCAGCATTCAGATTTGGTAACATTTGATTGTAAAGGCAAGGCTGCAGACTGGACAGTATGTTTAACCATTGGATCTGCAGCATGAACCTTAAAAGATACTGCCATGTGTATGATTTTTTTGTGTGCTTAGCAAATGTTCATGATTTACTTGCTTGTGAATAAATATAAGTAAAATAAGAAATGTATTAGCTTAAGATCTGGCCTACAGAGACAGTGATTTAAACAGTGGGGAGGGAAAACTTCCTCTTTCAGTTTATGCTAGAAAGAAGTGGATTCAAGTGTGAACTGCAGCTGTCACACGTTGCTTGTTTCTGAACCTGTCTGTACTGAAGAAAAAGGAGGTGCTCACCTTTGACTAATAACATCTATTGTTGATGTTGAGCACACTGTGTACTCCTCAGGAGAGAATGAAATTAGTTGCATTTGTGACACTGAACTTGAGTACAAATGTGTGTTCCAGCTTAGCTCTCTTAGTAAATGTATACATTTCTGTTGAAGTTAATGGAGGAGTACGCATACACTTGACCCTTGAAAGCTGGTTTAACACTTTCTTGAATACAAATGTGCTTCATTGGTTTTTAGATAAAGATCCAAAGGTTTTTATACGTCTATTTTGCTACAGAGGCAAGCCTAAGTTCTTGTTTTCATTTTGCTAGCTTCTTAAAGGACTATTTTGTAGCTTGAAAGACAATTTAGAACTGTTTTAGAAATGTGCTCAACTTCTTTTTCCTAGGAACCATCCTGAGGCTAAAAGGGGCAATCTTGAGAATGGCTTTTCTGGATACCACGGGAGCTTTGGTCCCACCAGCACATGAACCCTGGAGAGAACACAATGTTCCTGAAGATAAAGATGAAAAAGATAAATCGAAAAAGCGACGACCTGTCTCAGTGTCCCCCTCTTCCTCTCAGGAAATCAGTGAAAACCAATATGCAGTGATTTGTTCAGAAAAGCAAGCAAAAGTCATCTCACTGCCATCCCAGAACTGTATTTATAAGCAAAACATAACAGAGACTTCTTTTGTTCTTCGTGGAGATATAGTGTCATTGAGTAACAGTATCTGCCTTGCATGTTTCTGTGCTAATGGACATATTATGACTTTTAGGTAAGACCTGTTTGAAAGTAATTTAAATATAAAAAGAACAAATATGCATTCCTATTAGTTATGCCTTTAACACATGAAAAAGTTTACCAGTTTAGCTCAAGCTACCCTGATTCAACAAATAGTTCCAAAAGTGTGATATAGGTCCTTGAGCTGATGAAGATTCTCAAATGTGAATTTACTCCCTGATGGAGAAAACTGCCTTGAGTCAGACCTTCAGCTGGTACTTGACCACAACTCTGCATATTTTTGTGCAGCTGTTTGCGTCGCACTCATGCCTCAAGCTTACCTTTTTTGTTGTGTAGCTTGCTCGTGTCTTAAAGGCCTTAAACTCAGGCTGTAAAGGCAAGATTTAATTGCTAGCAGTTGTAGTATCGAAAAAAGTCACCTAAAGTAAGGGGTTTAAGTTATGAGTTCAAACATGTGAAAGTAATGTTTGAATGTACTTACATGTCGCCTATGTAATTTTAACATGTCCTTTTTCTCGAATATTTCCAAATGCTATTTTATTCTGAACAGCAGTGCGTATATATCTATACCCTTGCACCTACGTTTTAGTCCTGGCTAATGCTAAGATGAATATGGAATGTAGCATTATAAAACTGTGCCAGTAAAATTCCTAAAATGTTATTTTTAAGGTTGTGAAAACAAGCTCTCAGTTTGGGAAATTCTCTAAAAGGATACTTCTTTCGGAAGTTGTTAGGAATAAAACTAAAGCTGATCTGATGCATACTACAATTAAAAAATAAGTTTTCATTGTTAAGTCTGTTAACTCCATTGATGTATATCCTAACATATATTCTGAACATCTCTAGAAAATGCTGCTTGCCTTGCAGGGCAAGCCCTCTTTTTTTCCCTAATTAAAACTGAACTTAATAATGTTCAGGTACCATATATTCAAAGAAATTCTGTTTTCCTCAGGATTCATTTTGTTTTCTAAAGAACTTTGCATAGAGGTCAGTGCTAAATTGTAAATATGTATTGTTATATTGTGTAGGGAAGTTGAACTCCCAAGCATTAACTCCATTTCATAAGCATGAATTGCTGCTGGGAAGTGGACTTAACGTGTGTAAAGTTGTCAGAGCATTGTGTCATACCCAAGATGCCCCATACTTATCTACTGATAAAAGTTTAGATAGGACTTAAGATTCTGTTACAGATTTGTTTGATGTTCTGAAAATGCTATCATGGATGTCATGCTTGTCCTATCTGATCTAATGTTTTTGTGTTTTGTCTTGAAGCTGTAAGGATGTTTTATGCTTCCATCAGTCTGAAGCAAAGCACTTCCCTGTTACTAACTCATTCTTAGGAATATTCTTATTTTAGACATGTGCACGGCAGAAGTGTCATTTCTGGGTGATGTGCTTGCAAGAGAATATTGCTTTTTATTTCTTACCTGTAGAACTTGCCTGCAAAGTCATGTTACCTATTCTCCTTCTTTTCATTTGTCACATATGAAGTCTCTTGCTAAGAGACAATCCACAATCTATAAAATGCAAGCCTAACATTTAAAACTTCTGTATCATACCAAAAAAACCCAAAACCCCAACACTTACTGTTGTGGTTACTACATCTTTCTTTTTCATTGCTTTCAGCTTCACTTTGCCCCTTTACTACTTTTTTTTTAGTTTCTAGAAATAATAATCTTATGCAGATGGTATCTGCAGCAGAAGCTGCTTAATGTATTGTTGGTACATTTGCAGGTAACATCTTGTGTAAATTACGTTTTTACAAAAACTTCACAGGGGATGTTTTTGAGACAACGGTTTATTTTGGGTTCTCTTTATCAAGACATCAAGTGTTCAGTCACTTCTTACTTGCATTTATTATTAGAGAGAGAGGAATGTTTGGTAGCAAGAGCATTGTTACAGCCTGTGTGTTGCATCTGTTCTTCAGTAGCTTGATGCAGTAAGTACTGCAGTTACATGTGCAGAATCAGAAAACACAAGGTAAGCGAACTTTATTCTAAGAGGACTTCCTCTTAAATGTGCAGTCAGACAAAAAAGGTGGACATAATTCATAAGACTGTTGTTTGAGGCTACTGAATTCTTTTTTCCTTTGAAAGCACACCCCCATGTATTTCCAAGTGTTCTTGAGGAGAGATCTTTTAGACTTGTATTTTTAGTCAAGGAGAAATTCTTCACATGGGAGAAGAGGCAAGATGTTTAATTGTAAACTTTTGGCAGATACTTATCAAAATACTTAATTAGTAATTACTGAATAATGCTTTCAGTGAATCTGTGATTTACATGCTCAGAGTATCATTTAAATGATGCCTTTAAATGCATCTGTGATCCAGATGTTAAATTTCACTTTTGAGGTGCTACCTTGAAAAATCTCATATTTATGTTTTGAGGTTTTGTAGTTGCATTAAATGATACCCTGTTTATGCGGTACTTACACAGATGGTGAAGAGAAAAATAAAGTATTGCAGTTTAACAATGAGCCATTTGATCAATACTAGACATCCTGCTATATCTATTTATTTTTTAATTCTTTTTCTTAAGTTTGCCAAGTTTAAGGCCATTGTTGGATGTATATTACCTGCCACTCACCAATATGCGGATAGCCAGAACATTCTGCTTCACCAATAATGGACAAGCACTCTATCTTGTCTCACCAACTGAAATACAGAGGCTCACCTACAGTCAAGAAACATGTGAAAATCTTCAGGTAATGAATTAAAAAATAATTACTGTTTTCTGACATAGATATACTCTGAGGTTGACAGTTCTAGATTTATGATGCTTACAGTAATTAAGTTTGTCATAAAGCTGAGCACTTCAGCTTTCATGCTTTGATTTTTCTCTCTGTAGAGTCTGATTCAGGATGAATTACTTCCCTGACTCATAAATTCTACTGTTTCATCCATCCTCTTGTATTTGAAACAGTTCCTTACTTGATTTCCTTTTTGATCAGTAGGAAATTTCCTTGTGTTAATGTGCAGTTAACAAAACTCCCTTGTTCCATTGATGCTGGTAGAGGTGCCTGCTGACACAAGTGGGGAATGCTAACTCAGGATACTTGAAGGAAGCCATTATGTTTCAGGGGTATTAACAGCTTGAAAAAATTCTCAGCCATGCTTCAGCTTGGAAGCTGTATAGAATACTGAAATAGCAGAGACACAGGCTGTAAGCTCTATGTTCATACCATGCATGGATATGAGTATTTGTAGATACAGTTTTAACAGAACAAAATCAGGAGCGTTGCCCAAGTAAATTGTTGAGGGGCACATACAGCTTTACTCGAACCCGTTTCTTTGCTACTGAACTTCATGAACTATAAGCTTCCAACTATCCAAACAGGTGGCTTGGACAGATTTCCTGATATGTTTTTATTTTTTATTTCCTAAGTCACCTTGCAAAGGCAGATGCCTATTAAAGCATATTCATTTTGAAATTCAAATCCACAAAATAAATCCTTAAAGTGAAAGAATATTCCATTAATTTGTGTGTGAAATAACGTATGCCTTGTTGTGTCTCCTCTCTGTTGCAAAGGAAATGCTGGGTGAGCTCTTCACTCCCGTAGAAACACCAGAAGCACCAAACAGGGGGTTCTTTAAAGGCCTGTTCGGAGGTGGGGCACAGTCACTTGACAGAGAAGAGCTCTGTAAGTTTTTAGTATTTGTTACTTGTCTGGTATTTCTACCCAAGGAGGCCAGTGATACTTGAGAAATTTATTGCCTGTGTTAATAGAACTTTACATTTGCAAAGAGAAAAGTAAAAAAGGGAACGACAACTACTTTTTCCATAGCTTTTGTGTTATACACCTTACCAACAAGATCAGAAGAGCTTGGTACTGTTTTCTCACAGGCTTCTCTACCTCATTTATTCAGGAGCAGATTATAAAACAAGGAATGGGACAACTGATCTTATTTTTATTCATCTTTAGGAAGTGTATAGTACTGACCGTGATTTTCTTAATGTTGTTAAACTGAAAGGGGCTGGTTCTAAACAACGCTATTTTGGAGAGTGAGAAAAAGAAAACTCCATTCTACTTCAGTTCATTCACTAGATTCTTTTTCCTCATTTGACTTGTGCAGAGATGCCTTAGGAATGAGAGCAAGGATAGAACTGTATGATTGTTCAATTCAGTCCTCTAGTCATAGGACAGTAAAATACAGATTTGGCAGTTTTTATTGCTTTATCATTTTCTCATTGGTTTTTGATCACAGCTTTATTTTTCTTTTTTTACTCTGGTTGCATGCAGCATTTTAAAATATTTAAGGAAAATAACTTGCACTTATTCAGATATTTGCTAGATGAAACACCATATTATGCAAGTTTATTTGTAAGAAGCACTGTTTCCTTTTTAATATGAAATGTAGCTGTTAAAACAGACAAGGCTGCCTGGCAATCGTTTCTTTTTTATTTGTTCTTTTGATCTATCCAGTAAAAATTAAATTAGTCTTTACTACTTGTGCCTCTACATTTTGAACAAATATCAGATATTTAGAGGTCACTTTCTGTGTTAAAAATTCCATTTGTATTTATATATGTGTAATACTTTGAAAGGTTGGTCAAGTATTCTATTAGAGAAATTTGTTTGCGAAAATTATATGTTTAATTAGTATGACTGGGACAGGGAAAAACTTCCTCTTCTTGGCAACAGAAAAGCACTCTTGTAACTTTAGAAGCTATCTGTTTACATTATTTCAAGTTGCCACTGTTTTGCCCTGACTCTTCTGACCTATTTCTAAGGAGATTACAAATTTTTTTATAACTTGGTCTCAGGCTTTGTTTGTGGCTTTTGATAGAAAGACCTGTTTTGGCTCAGATCTTCAAGAGGAAAATAGTATTGAATGGGGGCGAGGGGAAGCCTAATGAACTGTAGCCTGAAAGTGAGTTCAATGACTATTTTAAAGACATTTTCAGATGTCTTCTGAATTGTCTTATTTAACATGAGGGTCACAGCAGAATTTGTAATAAGTGAAATGATTTCTCTTCCTGTAAATTTCCAAGACTGAAAATATTTATAGTGTTAGTTGAAATCTAAATTGTTCTTCCTAGAAGCATAAGATCAAATCAGAAAATCTTGAAATACTGCAACAAAACTCGTTAAATAAGCTAATATTATTTTTCCTAGAGGTGGAAAAAATAAAATATTTAAATCATAATTTAATTGTTTAAAAGTTAAAGATTACTTGGTTTGACTTCAGCATCCAAAAACGTTTTGGCCTCCACTCTAATTTCTGTAGAGTATACAATTCAGCATACGACTGACATATCCATTAAGTGTCTAGACTGAACTAGGTGGCTGATGTCCCATTGTAAGCAAAGGAGATGTAGTCAGTGTGGTCACTGGAGTCAAGAGCTCTTCAGCTGACTATTTGTGGGTGTTTACTTTAGGATGAGCTGGTTTGTTCTTACAGCTGTACTGCGTTTTCATGATTTACATTATTTTTTTTTTTTTACAAGATTTTTACAATAATGAGAGCATAGGCACCCAATCTTCAGGTGTCTGCATCTAAAACTGAACTTCCATCAAAGGAAATTTCTGCTGGTGGAGGCATACTGGCTGGTTACACAAGCAAAGCACTTCCAGAACTGACCACAACTTGTGTTTTCAAAATTCTTCTGCTTAATCTGCTGAACTCCCACCACCTTCCCTGTGAAGCAAGCTATATTGTTAAAAAACGCTTCACCGGCACAATTCCGTTGATGACTGATGCCAGTGCTGTTGAGGGAGTTTTAATTTCACACTCGAGCTGTGAAAAGATTGTAATTTTATAACCTGCCTGGAAACTCTGAAATATGTTTGAAAAATCTCAATTTTCTTAAATAGTAACATCTAGTAACATTGAGTAGTGAGTATTGCTCCTAGTCATGCCTGTGATTAGGTGTTCAGTATCCATGCAAAGTAATGACACCTCTTTATAAACTAGTTACACTGGTATTTATGTAATAATGATAGTAAACCTTACTACTCTGTTTTTGCTGCTTTGCAAAATGCCTCCAGTTGGAGAATCGGCATCTGGGAAGGCATCAAGAAGTCTTGCCCAGCATATTCCAGGGCCTGGGGGTATTGAAGGTGTCAAAGGAGCAGCATCTGGTGTAGTCGGTGAACTAGCACGAGCTCGGTTGGCCCTAGATGAAAGAGGACAGAAACTAGGAGAACTGGAAGAAAAAACTGCAGCTATGCTTTACAGTGCTGATTCTTTCTCTAAACATGCTCATGAGGTGAGTCCGTTGCATGTTAAACTGAGAGCATTAAACTGATTCTCTATCAAATAAATGCAAGTTTTGCAAGTAACTGACTTCTGCAAAGCATGATAGAGGTATCTAAAGGGAATGCAATATCATTGAGAAAGGACACTTCACTTTTATCTATCAATCATTACTCTTAAGTATTAATGTAAGCATCTTTGTTTTATGGCACATTGGTCTAGAGCATACCCTCTGCCTGAGTGGCATGTAGACTTCCAAAAGTGCGGCTCAGTTCCCATTACTTAAAGAATTTGTCACTGAGTTGCATAAGAAAAGTAATGCTCTGTGTGAGATTCCTGTGGTTCTTAAGAAAGATCCAGTTGTTGTATGCAAACCCCATGAATCCAAGCTATTTTTTTTCCTCAGTAACTACATAGGATGGCTGTTCTCTTCCATGTTCGTGCAGATCTCTTCCATCCCCTAAACTCTTGTGCAACCTTCCCATTCTCCCCAAAATATCTTTTTCTATCTGAGGCTAGATCGTCAGCAGTGATGCTACCATCAGAAAATTCATCATGCTAAACCCTCACTGTTCAGCAATGTTGTTGTTGTTGTGATTCTGAGAAGCCTTACTAAAGTCCCTCTTTCTCATGCTGCTTTGTAAGCATATAATTTGTTTGTATCATTGTACTTTTTGTTACATTATAGAAACAGTAATTAGAAATTGTTTTTTTGTTTTTTAGATGATGTTGAAGTACAAAGACAAGAAGTGGTACCAATTCTGATGACGCTCATCAATTACATCTGTTTAATTTTGTCCTGATGAAAAAAATCTTGTTTTTTCATTAATTTTGCCAGGACCACTGAAATTTAAAGGAGTATTCACCATTGGATACTGTTGTTTCCTAGCACAAATCACACACTGTTTTACCTCAGTCCTGGCTTTAACTGAGGAGCTTTATATTTAAAAGAAACACACACAAAAAAACCAAACTTGAGTGTTTCTTAGCTGTTGGTTAGCTTAGAGTTCCAACAGAGAAGGTAACTAGAACATGTGGAAAAGAGAGTAAAGGGAAAACGCAGTGTGAGATGGGCAGGGGCAATGCAGGGTCAATCCTGTGTTAATATTTCATATGCCAAAAGTTTTTGTGCTATTGTAATTGCTGCCAGTGTTATACCCTCCTGTGAGGAGAGGCAATAAATCAGGGGTCCAAGAGCTGGAATAAAGTTGTTTGTCTTGCTGGACGGTTGCTGACTTACACTTACCCTCTCTAGGACTTCACTATATTTACCATTATTGTTGAAGAAGAGTTGAAGTTTGTTACTTCTTTCATCAGAAAAGCTGGAAGCTTGGAAGATTTCATGTTGAAAATTGTATACATAGTAGACCTGTGCATAGTCTTTTCTTGGACCCCTGATCTAGTATTCTTGTATTCACATCATATTCTGTGAAGTGCAAAACAAGAGAATACACAATTTTTGCATTAAAAAAGTCAAGTGAATAATATGACTGGAATGTGTCATGCTGGGAGTTTTCATTTGTGTTATGGCCGTGCAATGTGAAATGTGGTAACATCTTCATTGTGGTAAGAATACTTTAACTTCTGTTCAGTTAAATATTATTTTTTGCCAAAAACAGTTCAGTTTGTACAACATTTAGAATTGGCTGTGGGTTCCATTCATGCTGTGAATTTTTATAAAATGTTTAACAGAATGTATCTTTACAGCCATTAATTACAATAGCTGAGATAGTTTTGCTCAAAACTTAAGTTCTAGATGCCCCGTTAGTCCTTTACTATAAAATCAGATAATCTTGGACTCAGGTTTTCAAACAGTTTTACACTCCGTGGAGGTGCTGATGCATGAATAATGGCAAGCATCTGATATTTAATAATTGTCAGTATGTTGTTTAGCAAATTTCTAAACCCTGCTAGTAGAGCTATTTTACAAGTACCTATCTCAGCCCCACCCAGCACTAAATGCAGTTGGCCTAAAGTTTGGATTTAGTGTCTAAAGCAGTGTTTTCAATGTGGGCAGTGGTAAGCATCCACTAAAACTTCAGGAATTGGTGAAATAATGTTCAGTTTGGGTGAGGTAAATGATATAGCTGAGCTAACTTGTTAATGGCTGCTGCACTAAAGCTTAACAGTGGGAATGACCAGACCTCTCTTTAAAAGAGAGGATTCCTCAAAATAAATATTTACATTTCAAAAATTTATTTAGAATTTTTTCCTCAAAGCAGGAATAGTTACTGGCTGGTTTGTGTTTTATAAAAGGGAGTACTTAGAAGCTGATAGGTCTACATTGTCTGAAATTAATCATTTCAGTTTGCTTCTCCAAACATCACATTCTGTTTGGTTTTTTCCGCACATTTTCCAAATGTTCCCAAAGCAAAACCTTGGTTATATTTGTATTGTGAAGTGATGTTGCAGGTACATAGATAAGGCAACCTTACGAAACGCTTAAATTATGCAAAATATTGAAGTTACTGATGGTTCTTAATTTATTTTACAAGTGAAAGGCAAATATGTTTGGGCTTTGTAGTACAAATTGATAAATCATCTGATTGTATGTATAGTAACATCTAATTACAAAAGACAAGTGAATTCTGTTGCCAGTACAAGGGCATGCCATACCATGTCCACTGTTCAAAGAACTTAACAAATGAGAATGTGACAATTTGAACAAGCAGCATTATGATTTCTTTGGCTCTGTTCCATACCTACTGAGGCAATGTTAACTCCAGTTACTTAACTCGGTTTGCCACACAATTTTTGCCTCTGCATGTTAGTTAATTTCTTTTTTTAGTGTCTAATTAATGCATATTTAACTTAATACCATTTTATTAAAAATCCAGGTAGAAGAAAACCAGATAAACTACTATCCATACCGTTTCCAGAAATAAAACACCCTAGCTGACACTTGTCCCCTTCCTTATCTCACACTGATAAATTGAGATGACTGATTATTATTTGACCTGGTGAAGATGAAATATAGTTTAGAGCAACAGAATCCTGTAAAGCTAGTCTGGTCAGGCTATGGGGGAGAGGATGGCAAAAGTATTCTTCAGCAAATCATGGTATCGGTTCAATGGAAGATGACCCTGGCTTGAAAGGAAAGCGTACTTAACTTTCCCATCAAGAAGCATTTGACAACCACGAGCAAGCAAAAAAAATGAGGCAATGAGAGACCATCTGCCAGTACAAGAAGAGTAGTGGTTTACTTGGTATTATAGAATCTGTCATAGCTGAATCTTTTTTTCTGTTGCGTATGTTCAGAGCATGCTTCTAGATTTGAAAACTAATGAAATGCTCATGAGATGAATACAAAAATGGTTCTTGGTCAATAAAAGGGGCTATGTACAATTTTAGTCTAAAACGTTCCTTTTTCCTTCTCTGTGGAAGGAAGTTGGTCATACACACGTAACTGCATCTTATTCTGCTATTGGTGGTGCACCTTTTGTACAGCAAAGTATACTGAAATCCTTGGGGGGAAGCACCCCATTTTTTTTGCTATCGTTTTAGTTGTGTGAAACTTTTTTAGAGTGTCTGGAAAACTATAAAATACAATTGAGCTATTACTTTTTTATTTTTTTGATGGAAGTGTAAGAAACTGCTGCTACCTATCTGTCTATATGTAGTGTGTCTCATTAGGAACTGTAAAGTGAAGAAGCTTTTCTTCACCTTAGTCCTGCCAAATTATAACTTTTGAATGTTGATATGTGTAAATATGCGTGTATTCCAAATAAGTCTGAAAGTGTTACACCACGGGCATCTCCAGTGATTTGTTCTTCAGCAAACAGTCAGTTATAAAATATAGTAATATATAGCTGTGTTCCTCGTCTGTCTTTATGCAAAGATTTTTGCCTGAGGTGGTACTTGCATGGCAGGTGATGTTGGAAAGCTACATCCAAAGGAGGATTTTTGGAAGCAAGTTCATTTCCTTTTAGATTTCCTTTTCTCTTTTCCTTTTTTTTTTTTTTTTTTTTTTTTTTTTTTTTGTTTTTTTTTTTTGCTTAATTAATGGCACTGATCTTACCTGAACTTTTAAACTTGAATTTTTCCTGCACTTTAATTCAATCATGGTATTTTATTCCTTAATTTTGTTTCTCCATTTGTGCAGTTCAGGCTCATTATTTGTATATAAACACACACATTCAATAAAGACTTTAGAACAGATTACTTTCAGGCACATTTGCTAATTATGTGACTATCATTTAGAATGTGTGTTTTCTTAGCAAAATGTGTATATACAAGTATATACAATATAGAATCTAATGAAAGGCACTTATCCTGTGTCGGCGTTCAGTTTATAAATTACTGCAACACTTTCAGATTTGTTACTAGATAATACAATAAAATCTGTTATATTTATACATACTGCTTAAGAATATACTTTTAGTTTTAAATAATTTTTATATGTACACTTCTACCTTTAATTTTAAAAAGACTTATGTTCAATTTTTAAGTCAAAGTACTTAAAGTGTGTATATTATCCATAGAAGAAGTTGTTTTAAGCTTATGAATACATTCATATCTCATATCGAGATGATACATTTACTAAGCAATGAAAACAAATAGCCCATTTTGCTTTGCAGAAAATACTTATTTCACTTATTTTCACCTCCCATTTTGAACATTCTTAAACAATTCCCTAAGTATGGAGAGGGAAGATAGTGCATTCAGAAAACTAATCTAATATGAAAGTCATCTTAATAGCTGCAGTCTGTGGCTGACTGGTTTTCTGTGATTTTACCCTTTTTTTTTTTTTTTTAGGTGTACACATGAAAGACGTTTTTCAGCTCTATTCCTCGGACTTTTAAAATTCCCCAAAATTGAAGTGAGGTTTGTCCAATAAATATTTACTTTGAGTAATGTATGAATCTTGATTATACATCAGCTCTTTACATGTAAATTGAGGGGATTTTTTGTACACCAAACGTGTTGGAAAACTTACAGCCTGTTGCTGAAGTGCCCTCTTCTTCCTCATCGTGGTTTAACATCCCTGGGTGGGCATTGATAGCAGCTGAAGTTCGGGGGCGGGGGGGAAGGTGTGCAGCGCCCTGCCTCCCTCCGAGTTGCAGGGTAACTTGGTGGTTGAACCTTTTCTTCCTTCTGGCCAATTTCCTGCATAATTTCTGTGAATCTTTTTGGGTGACTGTTGATAGCTTTGCTACTACCACAAAATCTTCAAATACTTTGTAGACAGAAATTAATGATGTTTGAGGGGAGGAAGTAAGTAAAACAGAAAAAAGATGTGTAGTGTAGGCAAATCAGCTAAACCGATTTTATTTCAGTTTTCATTGAAAAGCTAAATTAAGCTGGGCCAATTCCTCCTTCTTATGCATCTTATAAAGATATGCTGGCTGTCACCTACTTTACTACTGTTCCAAGCCAGATGTGTGCTGTGTTTCTGGGTTCTTTTACACTTCATAAAGTTTAGGCTTAAAGATGTGGGTGTTCATTTAAAAAAAAAAAAAAAAAAAAAAAAAAAAAAAAAAAGACAGAAACATAGGACAATCAAATTAAAAGTGTCAATCTATTCCTTTTAGTTTTACATGTAAAGCACCTAGAAATGTTTAAGTCATACAGCTGTAGGTTTCTTTGACACTTGTATTTGTTTTTGTTAGTACCTAAGTTACATATTACCAGGCAAATAATAACTAGAAGTTAAACTGTTTCAGTTGAAAACATGTAAGGAGTTGTATGTGGATTACCACTACCATTCAGAAATAGGTGATGCAAGGGAGAGGGGTGGGAACATGTTTTAAATATTCCCTTTTAAAGCAGAATTGTAAATAAGCAGTACTGTGTTATTTTAGACCTGAGCTCTGCTATCTGTAGTGGTTAGAACTAGGAAAACATGCTGCTTTCTAGTTATGCTACTGTTTCATTGTACCAGCACCATGGGGGAAAAATGAAAAAAATTCAGTAAATTTTTCTAACATTGCCCACTTGTGGGTAAGCATGCTTGATGTGTAGCAGTTCTCGTTTATGTATATCTTAGTGTGTACATATGTGGGTTTTTTTCTTTTGTTCATTGCAACTTATTCTTCCG